GGGCGAAAATTTCATCCGTTTTGCTCTAGCTCAAACCGTTGAGGCGCTAGTGGGTATTTTTGACGAAAATAAGCGAAAAAATGTGCAAGCATGCATGCTTAGTCGAGGTGATAGGCCGTTAACGGGCCGTAGGCCCGTACCTTTGTGGACATTTTTCCACTACCCGACTCGGGTGTCAGCGCCGCAGGCCAAGGTAGATGTATGCCAGGCGCGTCGCAGCGTAACAGTGTTTCGTGAGATATCGCGAAGCCTGTTACGCGAGACGTGGTCTGGCGTTCATCTACCTTGTTTATTTCCGAAAATATTGGATGGTCTCCTAAGGGGTAACTTGTCAAAGTAGAGCTCCTTGGGTTAAAATTTCGTCCGTTTGGCTCTATCTCTAACAGTTCGGGCGCTAGAGGGAGTTTCTATCACGAAAGTGGCCCAAATATAAACATATTAATTTTAGAAAATATGAGATGGTCTCCTAAGGAGTAACTTGCAAAAGTAGAGCCCCTTGGGCGAAAATTTCGTCCGTTTTGCTCTTTTTTAACCGTTTGGGCGCTAGAGGGAGTTTCTCTCACGAAAGTGGCCCAAAAATAAATAAATTACTTTTAGAAAATATGCAATGCAATATCCATCCATGGATGGTCTCCTATGGGGTAACATGTGAAAGTAGTGCCCTTTGGGCCAAGCAGGCCCGGCCCGGCCCCTGACGAACAGAGTTGCCGCCGGAGCGAAGTTGAGCTGTTTTTAGCCCGCCCTTCTGCTTTGAAAAAGCTATCCAGCGGGCTTATGCAAACGACCTCGTGTCTGTCTGTATGTCTGTCTGTGTGTCTGTCTGTTCCACTAGAAGGAGATGTGCTAGCGACTTAAAATTTTCAGGGTATCTTAAGATCCACTTCTAGAGAACGAAACGCCTACGGCAAATCCTGGCAACCACCCCTAAGGGTGTGAATGGGGGTATCCAAGAATCAAAAATTCTTCCAAAAAGTAATTGGCTGAGCGATTAGCGAAGCCCATTACTCCACTGACCGAAAAAGTTTCATTCTGTTTGTGGGTTTGTTTGTTTGTCTGTCGAAACGATAACACGAGAATGAATTGAGATAGCGGTCTGGGATTTTCAGGGTCGTTTTGTATCATAAAAAGACAGATCGAGTTCGAAGATGAGCATTCTAGCTCAGAAGTTGGCTTTTAAAAAAATCAAAAACTACAGGTCGCAAAATGTATTTTTATCAAATATTTTTTTATGGGTTCCTATGGGGTAACTCGTAAAAGTAGAGCCCTACAGGCGAAAATTTCGACCATTTGGCTCTATCTTGTACCGTTTAGGTGCTAGGGGGCTTTTCTTGACAAAAATGAGGTGAAAATGATCAAATGCTCGATTAAATCGTTAAAAAGACATCATTTCGAAAACTTGTATATACACTCCTATTACCCCGTCTCGGGTGTCAGCGCCGCAGGCCTAGCTAAGTGTGCGCCAGGCGCGTCGCAGCGTAACAGTGTCTCGTCAGATATCGCGAAGTCTGTTACGCGAGACGTGGTCTGTCGTACATCTACCTAGTTTTAGAAATTGCTTCTTGACTCGTTTCATGAAAATTATGACGGATTTTCTTTAGAGTGTACTACGTCAAAATCCTGCAACACGTGGCGGAAGCTGACTGTTTCTACTTTATTTGCTTCAACAGAAATTGTCGGAAAATATTAGTAGCTTTGCCAGCTTGTGCGCTTTAAGCAGGTATGGTCGGTCAGATTTCAGTTTTTTGATGATTTTCTCTTTCCTTATCAAAAAATAAACCGACGATGACCGAGATTGCAGACGCACGGTGACAATCGGCAGTCTCAAGTGCGTCTGAGTGCCGTGAGAGGCCAGACATAAACCATGTATGTGCAAGAACTATGCGCAAGTCAGCCACTAATCCAGGGAATTCTTTTTAAAGGTTGGACTCAGTGCAGGAGACGTCTAGTGACGCCATGCGAGCCGCAGTGCTGCTTTGGGCTTTGTGCATCGGTGCGGCCGGCGCCGTGCCGCTTGATGATGACGAAAAGTACAGGTTGCCGAAAGACTTTCTTTTCGGAGCAGGAACCAGCGCGTACCAGACGGAGGGTGCCTGGGATTCTGAAGGTAAATTTCAACGCTTTAAGAATAGCACTGCTAAGATGTATGAAATTTCGGTTCACAGTCAACATTCAATGTAGTAAAGTTGTCATGAAATTCAATGGCACTCTCAATTTCAGAACAATATTATTACATTTAACGGCAATTTAATGACACGCCATTTAAATTTCATTACACGCCCATTTTCGTAACATATGTTATGAAATTTTCTTGTGTTTATTAAGCAGTTTAGGAACGCCCTCTGCCTAATGGCGGTTTGATACTACGTTACAGCTCAGCCATACTGTTTTTTCAAAGGTATTGATCATTGCCATTATTGCCAATGAAGCCCTTCCTTTCGTGGCAATAAAGTCCTTTTTGGAATGATGGGCGCATAGGCAATAAGACAAAAGCAAGACCTTTCCAACAGCAATTAACCAATCATTGCCAACCCAATGGTAGTTTTCATTGCCACCCCAACGGAAATGTTCTGAAAGTAACTTTAAATTAATTCCCTTTTTTGGCTGAGCGATTAGCGAAGCCCATAACTCCACTGACCCGAAAAGTTTCATTCTGTTTGTTTGTTTGTTTGTCTGTTTATCTGTCTGTCTGTCTGTCCGCACGATATCTCGAGAAGGAATTGAGATAGCGATCTGGGAATTTAAGGGTCGTTTTGTACCATAAGACAGATCGAGTTCGAAGATGAGCATTCTAGCTCAAAAATTGGCTTTTTAAAAAATCAAAAACTACAGGTCGCAAAATGTTTTTATATAAAAAAAATTTTTTTATGGGTTACTACGGGGTAACTCGTCAAAGTAGAGCCCTTTAGACAAAAATTTCGTCCGTTTGGCTCTATCTTGTACCGTTTAGGTGCTAGGGGACATTTCTTGACAAAAATGAGCCGAAAATGATCAAATGGTCGATTAAATCATTAAAACGACTTCATTTCGAAAAATTGTATATACACTCCTATTACCCCGTCTCGGGTGTCAGCGCCGCAGGCCTAGCTATATGTGCGCCAGCCGGTTTTCGAGCCACGAATTATTATTGGAAGGTAAAGGGTTGCTTATTTACAGCAATATAAAAACAATTCACATCATGAAAACCGGCAGAGATAGAGCCTTCTCCTTAAAATTTTCACCCAGAAGGCCGTAAACTTGCGTGTTTAGTCAAGAAAAAAATACGCCCAAAATTGAAGTTTTCAAAACCACCTCTTATGGCAGGCCAGAATAACAGGCAAGGTAGGGTTACGAAAACGTTAAAGGAAAAAACTTAAAAAATGTTTCCAGGAGTTTTCATCTAAAATGGTGCCTGGAAAACACTATTACAACCCAAGAATCGAAAATAAGCGATATACGACTCACCCTAACGGGGAGCCTAAAATTGTTAAGCAGGATGAGGGTAGGGGGCCTAAAGCGACACACACTCAGGCACTCGGACACGCTTCCGCAAGCTCTAAAGAAATTGTTTTCTGGTCTCCACTTGATTCTCTCGAGAGTAAAAGCTAGCTGACCTGAAATTTACTTTTGTGCACGGAGAGAAAAGTATGCCGAAACCAGCCGTCTGATGCGTGGATTCCGCATACAAGATACTTGGTTTTCTAACAAGCATATGGTGGCTGCTGTGTGCATTGAATGCGTGGGTCAAGCATACGGCACTTAAAGCAAACGTTTACCAAGTGCCTAGATCTCGCACTGATGCGTAGATCTCGCATCTGATGCCAGATTCAAAGACACTTTTTAAGAGCCACCACGCATTGGTGCATTTGCCAAATCACGCATCATTTTATGCTTGAATCAGCTAAACTTTCTTCTCGTTGTATTCTTTACGTTGAGTCAAAAGGTTTTCAAGGTATCATCTGCTGAAAAATTGCTGTGAATATTTAAAGGGTTAAAACAAGGTAGATGTACGCCAGACCACGTCTCGCGTAACAGGCTTCGCGATACCTCACGAAACACTGTTACGCTGCGACGCGCCTGGCATACATTTACCTTGGCCTGCGGCGCTGACACCCGAGTCGGGTAGTGGGAAAATGTACACAAAGGTACGCACCTCGACTAGGCATGCATGCTTGCACATTTTTTCGCTTATTTTCGTCAAAAATACCCTCTAGCGCCTCAACGGTTTGAGCTAGAGCAAAACGGACGAAATTTTCGCCCGTAGGGCTTTACTCTGATGGGTTACCCCTTTGAAAACCATAAAAATATTTTTAAAAAACGTCATTTTTGGGACCTGTTGTTTTTGATTTTTTAAAAATCCAGTTTTTTAGCCAGAATGCTCATCTTCGAACTCGACCTGTCTTCTTATGGTACAAAACGACCCTGAAAATCCCAGGTCGCTAGCTCAACTCGTTTTCGAGTTATCGTGCGGACAGACAGACAGACAGACGTGCAGACAGACAGACAGACAAAGTTTTTTTCGACCAGACGGAGTAATAGGCTTCGCTAATCGCTCAGCCAAAAATGTGCAGGTGAATAGATGATTTGTAGCCCGCCCTTCTGCTTTTTAAAAAGCATTAAAGCGGGCTTATGCAACCGCTCTCGTGTCCGTCCGTCCGTCATCCGTGTAAGAGGAAGGAGATGAGCTAGAGGTCTGCAAATTTCAGGGTATCTTAAGGGTCACTCCTGGAAAACGAGACGCCTGGTGCAAATCCGTGAAAATGCGTACACCTCAACTTTTCACTTTTCCACTTTTATTCACTTTTTCACAGTTTTACAACGTTTACTTTATTTCTATGCCTATATCCTCTCTATTTTATTCATTTTTGATCTGATCAAGGCACGATAAGTCACTTTTGTCCACATTTTCTTTTAGTTTTCATCATTTTTAGTCAACTTTTTGTCACTTTCATTTTAACTTTTACAGAAATGTGTACACCTACTTTTTGTAGTGATTACCCCCTCGATAAAAACGTACAAGGAGGCGTCCAATCGTAAAATGTCAAAGGAAGTAACCCCCCAAAACAACACATTCTGAAACAGGTCCTATCCTCGGATTTGCCGTATCTTTCACTGTTTCGGCCTTAGACGTGGATATATTGAAAACAAGGGGGAAAAGTCAAGTTATAAGACTGACAAACAATACAATCTAAAAACTGCGTTGGTTAATTTTTTTGTATTTTTTTAAGCAAAGCAGAAGGGTGAAGTGTAGTCACGGTGTTGCCCCGTTACAGTCTCTTGTCATGTGAAAGGAGCAAATCTCTAGGGCCGCAGGTCCCCCGTCGGAAGTTAGTTTACTCAAATGTGCAGGTGATGTACTGGTCACATAATTCATTTGATTATGTGCTTCAGTAAATCACGAGACTAAAATGGTCGGGCCGAAGGCCGGCAGGCCAAGCAGGCCCGGCCCCTGCCGAACGGAGTTGCCGGCTCAGCGAAGTGGAGCTGGCAACTGCGTTTGACGGAAGGGCGGGCCTGCTTGTTAAGGTATCAGTTGCTCATTAGATTCACCGGTGCTTCGGTTAAACTGCCTGAGAAACGGCGAGAAAAATGGGCCACTATTTGAGGAATAGAGAGGGAGAGAAGAAAAGAAGCGAATAATATTCTCCTTGTGCACTTTGAAACGCAGAAGTCCATGCTAGAAATACTAAACATGAAGGAGCTAAGATTCCTTAACTCCACTACAGTACAATTTCATGCTCTTCTTGCTAACGCAGTCGCATCGTACTCTGACAGTACGATGCTGGGTGAAGGAGACAAGTCTATGCATAGAAGGAGACGACAACAATATGGAACAAGTACACTGTAAAACAAGTCGTGGAGATTTTACAATAAAAAGTCTTGAAATACTAGTTGCTAAGTGTTTTGTGGTAAATTTACTACTAGCTATATGTACGTCAGACCACGTCTCGCGCAACAGGCTTCGCGATATCTCACGAAACACTGATACGCTGTGACGCACCTGGCGCACATATAGCTAGGCCTGTGGCGCTGACACCCGAGACGAGATAGTAGGAGTGAATATGCAATCCTTCGGCAGAAAGCCCTTTTTAACGACCGTTCAAAAGTTAGAGCAATTTTTGTGTTAAAAAGGGTCCTACTTTGATTAACTCCTTGCGCAACAAATCATGCCGCAGAGACCTAACCCTTTAAAGTTATATGCTTTGACCCATTCCTAAGGTCTGACCAGTGTCATATTGCCAGTTATGTGATTTAAAAACCTTCTGGAAATTTTTGAAGAGAGTTCTGTCACAAAAGCTGAAAATTGTGCTGTTTTTTGCCATTTCCAGGACCTCGATAAAAAAAACTACATAAAAACTGTGAAAAAGCTCACTGGTCAGTTCTTTCTAACACTTGAAGGAAGTCACATACCAAATTGCAGCCTTCTACGTAATAAACTGTTGCGCAAGGAATTTTCCAAAGTTTCAAAAAACTTGTTTCGAGAAAAACAAGTTTAAAGTTTCTATAGTTGTTTTTAGTGTCTGCTCGGAAAGTTGAGGCGAGTTGAGGTCAAAAGATCAACCAAAACTAATTTCGTATGACCTTTAGGTTATATTTTACAATAGTTCCCAGTATGTCATGCATTTAAAACAGTTTAAACTAAATGGAGACTGCAATAGTACAATTTCTGTAAGAAATGAAAAGGCCCGGGTCAATTCCAAAAAACTAAATTCTGTAGAAAAAGGCGGCTTCTAGGAAGTTTGATGACAAAACCACTTTCAAAAGTACTGGCATCCAAATTTTTACTTTAAGTCACGATCACTGATGCATTCACAGCACCTAGATTCATAAGGTGAGTCCAATAAGAACTTTTTTCCCAAAATTGGAAAAAATCCAGAAAAATACAGAAAAATCAAGTTCTGCAAACCAAGGGGAGTGATTAGTAAACAACGAGGCAAAAAAGTACTTCCAGTGGCAAAGTTCTGTTTGGAATGACATACCAATTAGTCCCCACCACCTGGGGCATAAAGAGAAGTTCCTTTGTTCTTGTTGCTGTGCTTCTTCATCAAGCGTTGTCTCTTAGTTGTGTTCTTTTCTTGATGAGCAGCCTGAGCAAAACGTTTATGGTCCCTTCGAGAATCAAGTTCC